CGCGGCAGGCGACGGGGCATGGCCGGGGCGGGGTCGGGGCCGCAAGTGGGCAGGGCCGCAGGTGGCGTCGGGGCCGAAGTGGGCGACGGGGCAGCAGGTGGCGACGGGGCCGCAGGTGGCGGGGCCGCAGGTGGCGACGGGGCCGCAAGTGGGCGGGGCCGCAGGTGGCGACGGGTCCGAAGTGGGCGACGTCGACGGGGCCGCTGAAAGGGCGGCGGTGGGGCCGCTGAAAGGGCGGGCGACGGGGCCTGCTGAAGGGCGGGCGACGAGGCCTGCTGAAGGGCGGGCGACGATGGCCGCTGAAAGGGCGGCGACGGGGCCGCAAAGGGGCCGCGAGGGGCCTTTGAAAGGGCGGCACGGGGCCGCGGAAGGGCGGCGACGGGGCCGCAAAGGGGCCGCGAGGGGCCTTTGAAAGGGCGGCGACGGGGCCGCGAAGGGGCCTCGAGGGCCTGAAAGGGCGGCAACGGGGCCGCTAAGAAAAGGTTAAGGGGCACGCCACGGGGCGTGCCGAACACAGAGTAGCAGCGGAAGCAATGGGGCGGGTCCACAGGCAAGGACCGTGGTCACTCTGATAACATGTCAAGAATCTAGCGAGGCTTAGGAGCCATAGCTAGTGAGGTCGAGTAAGTTGAGTAGGAGGGTGAGAAAAGTATCGAGCAAGTTTTGAAAGAGAATGAGGGGCTTCACTATAGGTTTGCAAGAACATATAGCAAATGAACAAAGAAGGTGCACCACCTAAGAAAGTTTATAATAACTACACTAACTACAGCTACAGGCAGTTACAGATATATTCTAACACTTGGATGCATTTTCGGATGACCAACCCTAAACACGTAACTCGCCAGGTGTTTAGGATTGATCCGTTCCCAAACCGCATCCGATTCCGATTGGGTTTTAGTTTTTTGACAAGTTCGCAGATTGGTTGGGCGCGAGCAGGCCTCTGGATAGGATTTGAGTTGGTCTTTCCCATAAGGCCAACATCCTAGTTTCACTCTTTCAATCAGGGTACAAATTCAGAACACACTTATAAATCAGGGTGGAACTTTAAACAAGTCGTCAATCACCTTTTTACAAGATAGTAAACACGTGTTATGGTGTCCAGTTGTGTAGGAGTGATGATTTGTAGTGAGCACGCGGGTTCAAAACCCGCCGCAGGCGCTCGCCACTACACGTTTCGCGTGGAATTCTGACAGACTCGGTAAGAACTAGATCAGAACCGTCAGTGTAACTACATGGAGTTGTTCAACAGCACTCTGAAATATCAGTGTCGTAAATCTAAACACCTTTTCTTGTAAGGGTCAATGGAAAAGCCACTCTGGTAAAAAAGGGTGCATAAGAAAACCCACCCTTATAGTAAGTGTCATAAGGGTGAATCACCCTTATATCAAGAGGCCTGGGCGCGAGCGAGCATTTTTTTGAGTTTCAAGTTTTTTTTGGCGGGAGTTACATGTGTGACCATTCGCGTGATTTTTTACCTGTTTTTAGTGACTGAATCCGTGACCCCGCTTACCAAACCCGTCAGAAAACCCGATACCGGTACAGTGACCGTACGCGTTTTGTTTTTACCATTCACGTTAATGAGTCCCAAGCTGGTTAGTTTCCCTAATACCTCCCATGTGTGCTGCATCTACACGTACGCGCTGTTAGCACACGAATCCACGCCGGTCTCTCGCCTCGCTGATCCCGCCACTAGGCAACACACTCCGTGGCTGTCGCCAACACCTCACCACACGGGTCTTGGCTGTCAACTCCACGCGCGATCCGTCCCAGCTTCGGCGAACAGCCTCCAATCGCTCCGTTTTCGCAAACCTCAAGTCCCACCACACCCCGAACCCCAAGGCCTTCTCTCAAACGCTCCAGGCTCCGCGCCGAGCTGGGCGAAATTCGCCAGGCCCGCTGTATCAAGTCCAGTTTTTCTTGGCTCGGCATTTCCAAAACCCAGTTCGCGTCGCTCGCTCGCCACAATCGCCCACTCGGACCATGGGCTACGACGCGTCGCCTTCCGAAATGAGGCGAAACGAAATCGAATTATTTCCCGCAACTCCAATAAAACACTCCCGCCACTGCACCCCCGAGCTAGGCTGGGCGCTCAGGTGCCACCGTCAGCAACACATGCAACACAAATTTTCCCCTCCGCCTGACGGAAACCATGCGGAGAGGCTGTGCGGGGAAGGGCAGAGCGGGGCGCAAGATTCAAGAAGCTGGGTCCGCTGCGCGGGTGGCTTAGCAGGTCGCAATCCGGGTGGAATAAAATAGGGTTCCATCCATGGCTTCCTGCAGAATAATTCACAGGAGAGCAACCAGGTGACTCACCAGGCAACACCATCACGCGACTCCAATAATTGCGGTAGAAATTACAGCTCGCTATTCACTCAGTCGTCGCATCCTTGACGTCTAGCACCAAGACATCCCTCCATCCTTATAACCCCAACCACTTTCACCCATTTCTCTGGACACCATCAAATCTACTATCCTCACCAATTACGCCTGTTTCATCTCAACTCTCCCAGCTTCAGTCCTAAGCCAAGCAGTCGTTACCCTACCGTCTTACGTTCTCGCATTAGCCACCATGGCTCCTGCCAAACCGACCACCGCTCGCGCTAGTCTTCCCTTATCCGTAGTATCAGTACTGCTCCTCTTCACCCTACTCCTCGTCGCCCGGCAAGCCTCGGCCGCCAATCTCCCATTGGACGGCTGTCAGTGCGGCAAGCTGCGGGGCCTGGAGCGAGCGCGAATCAACGCCGTCAATTTCCGGCGATTCGATCAGATCGGGTCGTTCAACGGCGCCTTCAACAGCCACGGCGGCCGCCTCGTGCCCCACGAGCACGGTTCGGGCTCCGTCAACCTCGAGGTCTACCAGGTCAGTCAACCTCCCACTGCCGCTAACCGCTAGCCGCCTCCCTTCAGTCCGTTTCCCTAGGCTCCGCATGCTGCACATGAAAAACTGTTCTTTGCTTTCTTTGCTGTTTTTACCATGATTCAACGCCCGTCGCCCCCCGCGGCCACCGTCTCATGTTCCTCTTCCTCACTCCCCTCCGCCCGCCTTTCGCAACAGGAGGTCGGAAACTACGTGGAAGTGGTGCGGGGCCGCCCGGGCAGCACGCTCGAGGGGTGCTGCGCGGCGTGCGCGGCGTCCCCGCTGTGCCTGCAGTACCACTGGTTCCCCAGCGCGCAGCAGCGCCGCAACGCCAACGTGCGCGGGTTCGTGGCCGGCGCGCAGTGCTACCTGCTGGGGGCGGACGGCGGAGCGGGCGTGGCGGGGCACTTCAAGACGCCGTACAGCGGAGAGGCGGAGGAGCAGCGCATCATGGCGCCCTACTTCCCGCAGAGCTGGTACCGCCCACCCTTCCGCCACCCGCCCTTGAACCGCTCCTCCGCTTTTCTCCAATGTCACGTCGTCGCACATCACTTCTTTTTCATTCGTGATTTTGCTCGCGTCTACTCTGCCCCTCTCCGCCCATTCCTAATCCTTCCGCTTCTAACCCTCTGCTTGCCCGCTCTCCTTCCCCCCCTCCCCCTTCTTCTCCGCCAACAGGGTGGGCGGCATCTGCAACTCCTCCGCCATCCCCGCCTCCCCCCTCACGCTCCGCCGCCCCACTCAATCCGACCTCGCCACGCTGGACCCCGACAGCCAGCTCAGCAACACCTTCTGCCTACTCAGCGACCGCCGAATCCACGTCAACATCCGCCTGTCCGGCTACGACCCCGACCGCCTGCCCGCCCTCCCCGCGGACCCCCTCTCTGCCTCCGCTTCCGGCGCCGCTCTCCGCGGCCAATCCGTTCCCACCGCGCGCGCGCATGTCCGCGCGCATGGGTCCGCGGGGCTGCGCGCGTGGATCAAGGAGGTGGGCGTGGTGTGGGTGGGGCACGAGGGGCGCCCGCACACGCTTCGGCTCGTCGCGCGCGGGGGGAAGCAGCAGGCGCGCGGGCGCGAGGGCTTTCTCGCGCTGGCGGAGATGGACGGCGTGCAGGTCGCTGTCCCCGCGGAGGTGGGCGCGGCGGCGGAGGGCGCGGGGGGACTGGTAGTGGCGAAGGTGGCGGAAGAGACAGACGGGGGGATGGACGTGGACCAATACGCGGTGATGATCCAGGGGCTGGCGGAGATCAACGTGCGCGCGCGCGTGGCGCATCCGCTGCTGCAGAGCATGGGGGAGGCGGAGGCGCATTTCATAATCGAGTTCATGGACCTGCAGACGACGCCCGCCATCCACGGCGTGTTGGGGCAGACGTTCCGGGAGACGCCTGACGGGCAGCACAGGGATCTCACGTACTCGCATCTCTCAGGGCTGCTGCTGCGCGCGGGGCACGAGGGGGAGGAGGGGGATGGTTTCCTGGAAGGCTCCGCGGGGGATTATGTGACGTCTGCCATCACCCGACCGGACTGTGCCTTCTCTGCCTTCCCGTCCATCCCCCTCCCTGCCTGAGGATACAGGCCCCGTCTGTGCATGACTAGAACGCTCCCTGCGAGACCTCAGTTGCCTGTAGTCCCTTGCACTGCTGCCCTTGTGGGAACGGACCGCCCCCTTGGCGGTCAGTGCCTCCGCCAACCAATAAGGGCACACCAAATGGTGCCGGCATGCCCCTGTATACAAAGTGCAGCTGTGTGCCGCACAGCTGCAAGGGAGCAGTGCTCCTATATACCTTGTGGCGGTGCAAGGGAGCCGAGGCAAGAGGGTGCAATAAAGAAGACAATAAACGCTGCAGTGGCAGCAGGTGCTGCAGCACACAGCAAGCATATCGCTGTGAAAATCTGTGTATACGCTAGACATGTACCGCATGCTAGATTTATAAATCATGTATTGTACGGTATTGTAAGGCCAATAAAGTTCACTTTGACTACTGTCCAAATCATTGTTCTTTGTCGACAAACCAGCCCATTGCTACATCACTGTGCCCTTTCCACAACTCCCTCTGGGTCAGCTCAGCACATCATTCGAGGAAACACATTCCTCCCATCACACGATGTCACTTCACCTCACACCACATCATACGCCGACCCATCACGGGTCAGGGTGAGTGAGCTTGGCCAGGAGCGTAAGCCCTTGAGGGTGGTCAGCACAGCGGCGCAGGAAAGGCAGCCAGCGCGCCGGGTCGGAGGAGCGGTGCTCTCGCTCCCTCACCCCTCCTGACCCGTCCCCTCGCGGGTCTGACGAGCACGTGAGGGCGAGAGGAGCCCCCAGGTGACACCCCTCTGCTGACCAACTGCGCGTGCATCCCCCCTGGTGCTCTCTGCCTGCTGCTGCTGCAGCGGCTGCCACTGCTGCTGCTGCTGGATCGCCGTGGTGACTCTCGGTGGTGGCGGTGGTGGCAGGGGGGTGTGAGAGCAGGAAGGGTGGGCGGCCGGCAAGGCCGCTGGCTAGATAGCCCTCGGGTGATTCTGGGCTGAAGGGGGGATGGGGGAGAGTGGAGAGAAGTGTGTGGGGCAGAGGAGATTGGAGGGAGGAGAGTGGGAGGAGGAGAACGAGGAGAAACAAACACCGTGTTGGCATGTGGCATGTGCAAGGATGCACAGACGCAATGCATGGAGGAATGAAAAAGGGAAGGGGAGAGAGGAACAACCGTGCTGACCTGGCAATGATGACGTGGCACGTGCTGAGCAGCCAGATCCGCAAAATCTCCATCTGATTGGCCGACAGCAGGCGCTCCTCCGAGTCATCCTCCACCTCAGCATGCACCGCCACCACACTGCCATGCCAGCCCAGCCCAGAGGGGGCTCATGCCATGCCAGCCCAGGGAGGCATCATGCCATGCCGTGCATGGGTGGGGATGGAATGAGGCATAGAGAGGAGAGGCAAAGAAGTGAAGGGAGGCAGAGATGGGAGGGCAGCAACGGTGCTGCACCTAATCCGCACTCCATCGCTCCCACCTAACCCACACATGCGGCAAACCACACACCAACGAACCACAAGGGCCCCATGCCTCTCACTTGTGCACCTCTCTACGCAATGACTCTCATGCTGCTCACCTGTGCATTGGTGCTGCACCTAATCCGCCCTCCATTGCTCCCACCGAACCCACACATGCGGTCGCCCGGGAAACCACACACCAAGTAACCACAAGGGCCCCATGCCTCTCACTTGTTCACCTCTCTGCGCCATGCCTCTCATGCCTCTCATGCCGCTCACCTGTGGTCCTCAGTGGGCCACAGATCACTCCCCATGCCTCTCATGCCATTCACCTCACTTGCAGGCGCTCACCTGTGGTCCTCAGTGGGCCACTGCGCGTAGGCGCGTTTGAAGAACTTGAACGCCGCGAAGCTGTCTGCCGCCACAAACACTGCCACCACCCGTGCCCTCGCCCTCCCCCTCACCACGCCACGGCTGCTGCCGGGTTCACCCTCACTAGCATCGCCAGCACCACCACCACCTGCAGCATCATGAGAGACGGAGCTTGTTTCCCCAGTGTGTTCTCTTATCTGCCCGCCTGCACCCATGCCTGCTCCAACCTTCCCCACTTTGTTGTGTGACGCCGTCCTTCCCTCCCCACCCTGCGGCCGAGAGAAGAGCCCAAACCGCCGCCGCTGAGGGCTACCCCCCCCGCTACCTGCCTTCTTATGCACCCCTTCCCCCTTCCCTACCCCTTTCCCTTCCCCCTGTCCTTCCCCCTGCCCTCCCCGCTCCCCCTCCTCTCTGTCCCCATCCAGCAGGGAGCGGGAGGAGAGGGAGAGGTGGCGCGCGCGGGAGGAGTGATTGAGGAAGGCGGCGAGCTGCGACGGCGCCAGGGGCAGCGGCAGCACGCCGTGTGACATGCCGCACTCCAGGGCTTGCTGGGGGGAAGTTGAGAGGTGGGTTGAAAGGGGGGTGATGACAAGAGGGTGAGGTGAGGGAGAGGAATACATGCGTGCTGCTTCCACAGAAGTGGGAGTAGCAGTCAAACACTGGCATCCACCTCACACACATGCATCCCATCCCCCTCACATGCACGCCTCCCATCCTCTTCACAACTCTCATCCCTCCCCTCCCCCTCAAAGCGCACCTCTCTCATCGCCTCTTTCACCGCCACGCTCCCCCCAGCCGCCAGCTGCACGCCCACGGAGCGCCACGCGTGCGCCAGGTGGCCCTGGTGCGCCCTGAGCGCCCTCTCCCACACGGCGTTGGCGGGCAGCAGCAGGTGGCGCACGAGTGGGTGCAGCAGCACGCACCCCCTGGCATCCCCCCCCGCCCCCCCCCCCACACCCTCATTCCTTCCCCCCCATAACCACCTCTCTCATCGCCTCCCTCGATGCCACGGTCCCCCCTGCCTCCAGCTGCACGCCCACAGACCGCCAAGCGTGCACCAGGTGCCCCTGGTGCGCCCTGAGCGCCCTCTCCCACACGGCATTGGCGGGCAACAGCAGGTAGCGCGCGAGCGGGTGCAGCAGCACGCTGAAAATCCTGGCATCCCCTCCCCGCACGCGCACCCCCTGGTACCCCCCCCCCGCACGCGCACCCCCTGGCACCCCCCGCACAAGCACGCTGCACGCCTCTCATCACCCCCCACGTACCTCCCTCATCGCCTCTTTCATCGCAACGCTCCCCCAACTTGCAAGCTGCACGCCCACGGACCGCCATGCATGCGCGAGGTGGCCCTGATGCGCCCTCAGAGCGCGCTCCCACACGGCGTTGGCGGGCAGCAGCAGGTAGCGCGCGAGCGGGTGCAGCAGCACGCGGGAGGGGAAGAGGCGGTGCAGCGGGCGGTGGAAGGCGGGCAGCAGGAAGAGCGAGGGCAGCAGGTGCTGGTCGCACAGCATGGCCAGCCATGTGGCGTTGCGGGCGAGTTGGGTCTGCATGGAGGAGCAGAAGAATTGTTCATCCCATGCATAGCGCTGCTCCTGGGGTGTGGGGAAGGGTTAGGTGATTGGGGTGGACGGGGAGAAGAGGGAAGGGAATGAATGGGGCAGCAGGAAGAGCGAGGGCAGCAGGTGCTGGTCGCACAGCATGGCCAGCCATGTGGCGTTGCGGGCGAGTTGGGTCTGCATGGAGGAGCAGAAGAATTGTTCATCCCATGCATAGCGCTGCTCCTGGGGTGTGGGGAAGGGTTAGGTGATTGGGGTGGACGGGGAGAAGAGGGAAGGGAATGAATGGGGCAGCAGGAAGAGCGAGGGCAGCAGGTGCTGGTCGCACAGCATGGCCAGCCACGTGGCGTTGCGGGCGAGTTGGGCTTGCATGGAGGAGCAGAAGAACTGCTCATCCCATGGGTAGCGCTGTGCCTGTGGGGTGGACGGGGATGGGGCGGGTGAACGAATTGGAAGGGAAGGGGAGGGACAGTAAGGCAAAGGGCAGCAGGTGGGAAGGAGGGGAGGGTGAGGTGGGGAGGTGGGGAGGGTGAGGTGGGGAGGTGGGGAGGGTGAGGTGGGGAGGTGGGGAGGGTGAGGTGGGGAGGTGGGGATGAGAAGATGGCGAGTGGAGACGAGGGGTCAGGCTTGCAGGCAAGTCCTGTGCTGCATGCGTGATGGTACCCACGTGGGAACAGCAGGTAGGTGTGCATGTGAATGTGCATGGGCATGGGCACGGCAGCAGCCTCACTCACCTCAAAGTAGATGGTGGCCACGTCCCTGCGGTTGAGTGGCTGGTGGGGTTACGACCGGAAGGGGAAGGGGTGGGAAGAAGGGACAAAGAAAAGAGGAATACGTTGAAAAGGGGAAGGAGGGAGAGGGAGAGGAAAGCGCATGTGAAAAGACGACAGCAGCACACATCCTCACTCACCTCATCTCCCGTCCCGTTTCCCTCCCTCATTCCTCCTTCATTCCTCCCTCTCCCCTCTCTCTCCCGTTCACCCACCCACCTCTCTCATGCCTTCACTCACACCTCTCTACCCTCCGTCCCTCGCGCTCACACCGACTCACAGCGAAGAAGCTGTTGCTGGTGCTGCCGTTGACCCACTCGCCCTGGTGCGGCGGGTGCAGGCGGAAATGCTCTGGCAGGCCCGCGGGCAGCCACCAGGAGGAGCGCGGGAAGGGGTTGCACAGCAGACTGGGGGGGAGGGGAGATGAAGGGGAGATGACAGGAGGGAGAGATGGGGGGAGGATGCGGAGATGTGATGAGACAGGGCGAGAAGCCACCATGAGGGGCGCGGGAAGGGGATGCACAGCAGGCTTGGGGGGGGGGATGCAAATAGCAGGAGACGGGGGGAGGATGAGGAGGAGTGATGAGGCAGAGCGAGCAGCCACCAGGGGGAGCGCGGGAAGGGGTTGCACAGCAGACTGGGGGCATGAGGACTGGGGGGAGATGGGGCATGAGAGGGTGGAGATGGGGTATGAGAGCGTGGAGATGGGGTATGAGAGGGTGGAGATGGGGTATGAGAGGGTGGAGATGGGGTATGAGAGGGTGGAGATGGGGTATGAGAGGGTGGAGATGGGGTATGAGAGGGTGGAGATGGGGTATGAGAGGGTGGAGATGGGGTATGAGAGGGTGGAGATGGGGTATGAGAGCGTGGAGATGGGGCATGCGAGCGTGGAGATGGGGCATGAGAGGGTGGAGATGGGGTATGAGAGGGTGGAGATGGGGTATGAGAGGGTGGAGATGGGGTATGAGAGGGTGGAGATGGGGTATGAGAGGGTGGAGATGGGGTATGAGAGCGTGGAGATGGGGCATGCGAAGCGAGTGCAGCTGGGCGTGAAAAAGCGCGCGTGACCTGGGCAGGTCGCCGTGACCTGGGCAGGTCGCCGTGAGTGTCAACGAGAAGGTTGCGGTGGGTGAGCAGCGCGGAGAGGAAGGCGGAGACCAGTGACAGCAGGCGGAGTGAAAGCGGTACGGGCGTCACCTGGGCAGGTCGCCGTGAGTGTCAACTAGCAGGGCGCGGTGGGTGAGCAAAGCGTAGAGGAAGGCCGATAGCAGCGACAGCAGGCGCTGTGCCACACTGGGGTGCGTCTGTGGCTCGTACCACACCAGGTAGCTGCGGGGGGGGGGGGGAGGTGAGGACGGGGCGAGGCGGGGCGAGGGGGGTTGGAGAGAGGAGGGGGTTGTGAGTGGAGTGAAGAGCTGGTAGGATGAGAGGAGGCTGTAAGGCGCAGCATGTGCGGAAGGAGGAGGTGGGTCGGGGGTACCTGCGCGGTGTGCCAGTGAGGGCGTGAACGGCGGGGAAAGCAAGGGAGGTGGATTGGGGGTGCGACGAAGGGGAGGCTCGTAGCACACCATGGCCGCCCGCTCACCATGGCCGCCCGCTCACCTGCATGTGCTTCGTGGCGCCTCCAGTTTCTCCGCATGTGCCTCCCAGCTCTGCACGCCCGCCACACACTCCTGTGCACACACACGGGCACGCACGGGGAGAGAGATGCATGAGGCGAGGCGTATGGGTCGAGGAGAGAGCAAGATGGATGGGGGGCAGAGGGAGATGAGAAGCGGATGGGAAAGAGAGTCGATGGGTGTGCATGCATGAATGGCAGCATACCACGATAACCATCCCTCTCTTCCCCCCTCTACCACTCCACCAGCACCCCTCCCCTCCCCTTCCCAAACCCCCCTCACCTCGTGCATGCGCTCGTAGGCGCGGAGAGAAGCGAGCAGCGCAGGGAACCATCCCCCTTGTCCCCCACACTTCCCCCCCCAACCCCACCACCACCCCTCCCTCACCCTCCCTCCTCTCTCCCTCACCTCGTGCATGCGCTCGTAGACGCGGAGGGCAGAAAGCAGCGCGGGGGAGGGCGAGTGGGGCGAGGGGGGGAGGAGCAGCGCGCGCTCGTGCAGCGCCCAGCATGACTGCCCCTCCTCCGCGCCCTCCAGGCGCGCCAAGTCCTCCTGGGCGTGCAGCAGTAAGTCAGAGTGCACTGCTGCTGCTGCTGATGCCGCCCGGGGCGACGGGTCACCTTCGGCCTGGTGCGTGGGGAGGGGAACGGGGGATGGGGGGGATGGGGAGAATGGGGGGTATGGGGGGGCTAGGCGCGCCAGGTCCGCCTGGAAGTGCCGCAGCAGCTCGCTGTGCACTGCTGCTGCTCCTGATGCCGCGCGGGGCGAGGGGTCTCCTGCCGCCTGCTGTGTGGGGAGTGGGGGGTAGGATGGGGGAGAGTGGAGGGGAGGGGGGAGAGCAAGGGATGAGGTTGGGGGTGTTGGAGGGTCGTGGCGGGTGCTGCTGGGGCGGAAGAGCCAGGCGGGTAGGGATTGGCCCTGGTTGGCATGAGTGAGTGAGTGAGTGAGTGAGTGAGTGAGAGTGAGTGACCGAGTGAGTGAGAATCAGTGACCGAGTGAGTGAGAGTGAGTGACCGAGTGAGGGAGTGAGTTAGTGAGTAAGTGGGTGACCGAGTGAGTGAGTGAGTGAGTGACCGAGTGAGTGAGTGAGTGAGTGAGTGAGTGCGCGAGTGAGTGAGTGAGTGGTGCCAGCAGCATGGGAGGGACGGCAGCAGCGCGGTGAAAGCAGGGGCAGCAAGACACGAGTGGGCAGCAGCACACGCTGGTGGCCCACCTTGCGAGTGGAGGGCAGGGAGGGGCTAGCGAGCAGCAGCAGCAGCAGCAGCCCCACCACCACACACCCGCCCACCGCACCCAACCCTACCATCGCAACCTGCCTTCTCCGTGCACCCCTCCCCTCCCTCCCCTCCCTGCCCTCTCTCCCATCCCTCTCTTCCCTGCCGTCCCTCTGCTCCCTGCCTTCTCTGCCGTCCCTCGCCCAGTCCCTCACCCACTCTGCCTCCTGCCACCACCGCCACACCTGCTCTGCTGCTCCCACCGCCAACCCCACCACCCCCCTCCGCCTCCTCTTATGCGCCTCCCCGTACCCATCCCCATACTGTTCCCCCCCAATCCCCCCTGCCCCGCCCACCCCATACCATGCCCCAATCCCACCTACACCCCCTGCCCCCCCTCTCCCCCCTCCTCCCACTGCGCGCCTCTGCGCCATCACTCCCCCCAGAAGCCCCCCCGCGTCCACCCTCTGTCCCCCCACCACCAACTCCCCCGCCCCTGCTGCTCCCCCCACCGCCAGTGCTGCTGGTGGGGGGGCAGCGGAGGGCGCAGCCCCCCCTGCCGCCCCTGCTGCTGCCAGGACCCGCTCCCGCCACAGCTGCTCCGCCCCTCCCCGCGCCATGCCCCCCTCCCTGCCCGCCCTGCCCGCCCCTCTCGCCGCTGCGCCTGCCAGGAGCTCTGCGGACGGGGGAGAGAAGGGGCTGCGCGCAGGGGGGAAGGGGGAAGCACTGGCGGAGGGGGAGGAGCTGTAATGCGCGATAGGGAGGTCGTATGTGGGGGAGGGGGAGAGGGGCAGGGCAGGGTGCGGGCGGGAAGGGGAGGAGAGCGGGACGAAGTGAGAGCGTGGGGAGAGGGGGAATGGGGTGGGTGATGAGTGGAGCGCTGTGGGATTAGAGGAGGAGGAGGTGCGCGAGAAGGAGTGGTGAATGTGGGCAGGTGGAGCAGTGGCGCCGGTTGCTGCTGCTGCTGGTGGTGCTGCTACTGCTGATGCTTCTTCTGATGCTCCTTGTGCTGCTGGTGCTAGTGGTGGTGCTGCTGCTGCTGGTGCGGGAGCAGTAGAGGGAGTGGAGGGAGCAGGGAGTGTTGGGGCGGGGGTGGCAGGGGAAGGGGAGGGGCGGGATGACGTGTGGGCGTGGAGGGGCGAGGCGGAGGCACGCGCAGCAAGGGAGGCGGGGGACGGGGAGGGCGGGCGGAGAGGAGCAGTGGGAGCAGGGGGAGCGAGAGTACCAGTGGCAGTACCAGCAGTATCTTCAGGAACAACAGCAGCAGGAGGAGCAGAAGCAGCAGCAGCAGTACCAGCAGCAGCAATACGAGCAGCAGCTGTTGCTTTCACCTCGAGACTCATATTGCTCCCCTCGCCTTGCTTTCCCCTTCCCTCCCCCCCTGACCCACCGCCACCCTCCACTGACCCGCCTATGTCCACGCGGGACCTCCACACCTTCTCACCCCCTCGCGTCGATTCCCCCCGTTCCGCGGAGCTTCCCTGCCCTTCCCCTCGCCCAGCCCCTTCCCCCGTCCCATCATTCCCTCTCTGCTGCGCGTGCACTTCCGCCACCCATTCCCCTACCCCGCCCGCGCCTGTTCCCCCTCCGCCTGGTTCCCCTGCGCCAGGCTTGGTCAGCGCGAAGCGGTAGTTGGCGGAGCCTCCGCGGGCAGGGGGCGGAAGGATTGCGGAGGCGGAGGAAGGGGGGAGAACGACAGAAGCGGAGGAGGGGCCGAAGGCGGAGTGAACGGAGGAGCCGGAAGGGGAGGTGGGCGCGGAGAACCGCTGCGCGAGCGCATGTGCGTTGCGGGTGGGCGCGAAGGGGTGTGCGGGCGAGGGCAGGGAGGAGAGGTGCGAGAGGTCGACGAGGGAATCGAGGGGGTGTCCGCGCGCGCGGTAATAGGTCATGGCGGGCGGGCGCGGGGAGTGGCGCGCGCAGGGGGAACACACGGGCGAGAACGAGGCGAACGGTTGAGAGCGGTGACTGAAGCGCGCGCACGAGGCTGTTATGGCGGACAAATTCCGTTGCGATGACTCTACTTCCGCGCCAGATGCCACCGCGACGGAGAAACGTTTTGATCGGCTATTCGTGCTATGAGCCGACTTGCTAAACCGAAAGTGTCACCCACCCATCCGCACCTCTCCCCAACCTCTTCCCAAACCAATCGTTGACTCGTTTTTGTAATTCAGGCTGCGGGTTTTAAGATGTTCTCCTTCTGATATGTGAAATGTTATACAGAGAAGAATTTCCTTCCAAATACTACAAAAGGCAAGCCCCTTTCAGCAGGTTGTGGAAAAGTAATGCCAATGTATCGCATCTCATATTTCAATCTCTAGAAATTATTGGTTAATTATGGTATAGAATGCATAAGAAGATAAGAAAGAAGGTAGGTAGATGTGTGGTTGTTAAATACATTTACACTAAACATAGAAAACATAAGGCGAACCTAGAATACAACAAAATCACTTTCCGCTCAATAAAGGAGGTTCCAGCAGCGTTCGTCCACGGTCGCAGCATTGGAGTTCGTCGCGTCGCCCGTCACTTCCCACCCAAAACGCCTCACAGAGCTTCTTCACGAGGAGTAAGGATGACGACCCTCCGTGCTGCGCCTCATCCTACCATGGCCGCGACGCTCAACTCGCAGCAGCTCGCCGTGTTGCTCACATCGCACGCCCACCTCGCATCCGTCACAGCACCCCCGCGTGCGACTCCTCGAGTAGTTGCCCAGCCGCCTCTGCGATCGTCGCAGTTCGCCGCCAGCACACCACTGCGTTCGCGGAATCGCTGGGCCTCCTGGGCTGCTGGCGAAGAGCAGCGCGCGGCGCGCGCACGGCGCATGGTGGTGCGCGCGGCGGTGTTCGAACAGCTGAGCTGGAGCCTGTAGCAGGTGTGGACAAGGCTGTGCTCGCAAGGTGCGCATCGGAGCGCGTGTCCGGAGCGCACTGCTTTGCGGCTCCAATTCGGAATGCCACAAGCATCCCCCACCGCCCCTCCCCTACTGGCGCCGTAGTTGAGTCTGGCGGTGGTGCGGCGGTTTGTGTGCGAGATGACGGAGAGGGCGGTGGGTGTGGAGGTGACGGAGAGGGCGGTGGGCGTGGAGGTGACGGAGAGGGCGGTGGGCGTAGAAGTGACGGAGAGGGCGGTGGGCGTGGAGGTGGCGGAGAGGGCAGTGGGCGTGGAGGTGACGGAGAGGGCGGTGGGCGTGGAGGTGACGGAAAGGGCGGTGGGCGTGGAGGTGACGGAGAGGGAGGTGGGCGAGGAGGTGACGCAGAGAGGGGTGGGCGAGGAGGAGACGGAGAGGACGGTGGGCGTGGAGGTGACGGAGAGGGCGGTGGGCGTGGAGGTGACGGAGAGGGCGGTGGGCGTGGAGGTGACGGAGAGGGTGGTGGGCGTGGAGGTGACGGAGAGGGCGGTGGGCGTGGAGGTGACGGAGAGGGCGGTGGGCGTGGAGGTGACGTAGAGGGCCGTGGGCGTGGAGGTGACGGAGAGGGCGGTGGGCGTGGAGGTGACCCGCGGCGTGCGGCGGGGCCAGCAGCTTGCTTGCCTGCATTCTTATCGCACGTTTGATCACACAGCGCATGCAAAAAGTGAGCCACCACACTGCCTGCTCCACCACACACACTGCACCGTACTCTACCGCATTCAACATCCATACCCTCACAGCTCTCACCGTGTCCTTCCTTCACCCCGCCCCATTCTCCCGCTTTCCATCACCCCGCCCCATTCTCCCGCTTTCCATCACCCCGCACCATTCTCCCTCCTTCCATCAACCCGCCCCATTCTCCCTCCTTCCATCGCCCTGTCTCATTCTCCCACTTTCTATCACCCTGCCCCATTCTCCCGCTTTCAATCACCCCGCCCTATTCCCCCTCTTTCCATCACCCCGCCCCATTCTCCCTCTTTCCATCACCTCGCCCCATTCTCCCTCTTTCCATCACCCCGCCCCATTCTCCCGCTTTCCATCACCCCGCCCCATTCTCCCTCTTTCCATCACCTCGCCCTATTCTCCCTCTTTCCATCACCCCACCCCATTCTCCCACTTTCCATCACCCCGCCCCATTCTCCCGTTTTCCAGCACTCCGCCCCATTCTCCCTCTTTCCATCAACCCGCCTCATTCTCCTGCTTTTCAGCACCCCGCCCCATTCTCCCACTTTCCATCACCCCGCCCCATTCTCCTGCTTTCCATCACCCCGCCCCATTCTCCCGCTTTCCATCACCTCGCCCCATTCCCCTGCTTTCCATCACCCTGCCCCATTCTCCCGCTTTCCATCACCCCGCCCCATTCTCCCGCTTTCCATCACCCTGCCCCATTCTCCCGCTTTCCATCACCCCGCCCCATTCTCCCGCTTTCCATCACCCCGCCCCTTCTCCCGCTTACCACTACCCCGCCCCATTCCCCCGCTTTCCATCACCTCGCCGTATTCTCCTGCTTTACATCACCCCGCCCCATTCTCCCGCCTTCCATCACCCCGCCCCATTCTCCCGCTTTCCACCACCCCGCCCCATTCTCCCTCTTTCCATCACCCTGCCCCATTCTCCCGCTTTCCATCACCCCGCCCCATTCTCCCGCTTTCCACCACGCCGCCCCATTCTCCCTCCTTCTATTACCCCGCCCCATTCGCCCGCTTTCCATGACCCCGCCCCATTCTCCCGCTTTCCATCACCCCGCCCCATTCTCCCGCCTTCCATCACCCCGCCCCATTCTCCAATTTTCCATCACCCCGCCCCTTCTCCCACTTTCCATCACCCCGCCCCATTCTCCCGCTTTCCATCACCCGGCTCCATTGTTCCGCGTTCCATCACCCCGCCCCTTTCTCCCTCCTATCATCACCCCGCCCCATTCTCCCGCTTTCCATCACCCCGCTCCATTCTACCGATTTCCATCACCCCGCCCCATTCTCCCGCATTCCGTCCCCCCGCCCAATTCTCCCACTTTCCATCACCCTGCCCCGTTCTCCCTCCTTCCATCACCCTACCCCATTCTCCCTCCTTCCATTACCCCGCCCCATTCTCCCTCCTTCCATCACCCTACCCCATTCTCCCTCCTTCCATCACCCCGCCCCATTCTCCCGCTTTCCATCACCTCGCCCCATTCTCCCGCTTTCCATCACCCCGCCCCATTCTCCCGCTTTCCATCACCCCGCCCCATTCCCCAGCTTTCCATTACCCCGCCCCATTCCCCCGCTTTCCATCACCCCGCCCCATTCTCCCGCTTACCACCACCCCGCCCCATTCCCCCGCTTTCCATCTCCCCGCCCTATTCTCCTGCTTTCCATCACCCCGCCCCATTCTCCCTCTTTCCATCACCCCGCCCCATTCTCCCGTTTTCCACCACCCCGCCCCATTCTCCCTCTTTCCATCACCCTGCCCCATTCTCCCGCTTTCCGTCACCCCGCCCCATTCTCCCGCTTTCTACCACCCCGTCCCATTCTCCCTCCTTCCGTCACCACGCCCCCTTCTCCCGCTTTCCATCACCCCACCCCATTCTCCCGCTTTCCATCACCCTGCCCCATTCTCCCTTTTTCCATCACCCCGCCCCATTCTCTCGCTTTCCATCACCCCGCCCCATTCTGGCGCTTTCCATCACCCCGCCACATTCTCCTGCTTTCCATCACCCCGCCCCATTCTCCCGCTTTCCATCACTCCGCCCCATTCTCCCGCTTTCCATCACCCCACCCCATTCTCCCTCTTTCCATCACCCCGCCCCATTCTCCCTCCTTCCATCACCCCGCCCCATTCTCCCGCTTTCAATCACCCCGCCCCATTCTCCTACTTTCCATCACCCCGCCTCATTCTCTCCCGCTTTCCATCACCCCGCCCCATTCTCCCGCTTTCCATCCCCATTCTCCCGCTTTCCGTCACCCCGCCCCATTCTCCTGCTTTCCATCCCCATTCTTCCACTTTCCATCACCCCGCCCTATTCTCCCACTTTCCATCACCCCGCCCCATTCTCCCGCTTTCTATGACCCCGCCCCATTCTCCCTCTTTCCATCACCCCACCCCATTCTCCCACTTTCCATCACCCCGCCCCATTCTCCCTCCTTCCATCACCCCGCCCCATTCTCCCTCCTTCCATCACCCCGCCCCATTCTCCCGTTTTCCATCACCCTGCCCCATTCTCCCGCTTTCCATCACCCCGCCTCATTCTCTCCCGCTTTCCATCGCCCCGCCCCATTCTCCCGCTTTCCATCACCCCGCCTTATTCTCCCGCTTTCCATCACCCCGCCCCATTCTCCCGCTTTCAATCCCCATTCTCCCGCTTTCCATCCCCATTCTTCCACTTTCCATCACCCCGCCCCGTTCTCCCGCTTTCCATCACCCCGCCCCATTCTCTCGCTTTCCATCACCCCGCCCCATTCTCCCGCTTTCCATGACCCCGCCCCATTCTCCCGCTTTCCATCACCCCACCCCATTCTCCCGCTTTCCATCACCCCACCCTATTCTCCCGCTTTCCATCACCCCGCCCCGTTCTCCCGATCTCCATCACCCCGCCCCATTCTCCCGCTTTCCATCACCCCGCCCCATTCTTCCTCCTTCCATCACCCCGCCCCATTCTCCCGCTCCACATCACCCCGCCCCATTCTCCCGCTTTCCATCACCCTGCCCTATTCTACCGCTATCCATCATTCCGCCCCATTCTCTTGCTTTCCATCACCCTGCGCCACTCATCCGCTTTCTATCACCCCGCCCCATTCTCCCTCCTTACATCACCCCACCCCATTCTCCCGCTTTCCATCACCCCGCCCCATTTTTGCTTCCATCACCCCGCCCCATTCTCCCGCTTTCCATCACCCCGCCCTATTCTCCTGCTTTCCATCACCCCACCCCATTCTCCCGCTTTCCATCACCCCGCCCCATTCTCCCTCTTTCATCACCCCGCCCCTTACTCCTGCTTTCCATCACCGTGCCCCACTCTCCCTCTTTCCATCATGTGGCTGCGCTTGTCTGGTTCTATTACCAAGCCAGCAAGGGCATGGGAGGGTTGCAAGCATCATCGGTTGTCGGCGCTCGCGAATGAAGAGCGCCCGCTGCACATCCTGCACATGTTCGACTCCTTCCGTGTTTTGGGGGTGGAAGTTCTCGTTACGAGCGTTTTGCTTCCGCCGGGTTATGTGGCTGCGCTTTTGGTCCAATTACCAAGCCAGGAAGGGCGTGGAAGAGGTGCAAGCATTATCGGCCATCGGCGCTCGCGAATGAAGAGCGCCCGCTGCACTTCCTGCACAAGTGCGGCTCCTTTCGCGTTTTGGTGGTAGAAGCGCTCGTTCCGAGCATTTTTCTTCCGCCGGGTCCCGCGGTTGCGCTTGTCGGGTCCTATTACCAAGCCAGCAAGGGTGTGGGAGGGTTGGAAGCATCATCGGTCATCGGCGCTCACGAATGTAGAGCGCCCGCTGCACATCCTGCACATGTGCGGCTCCTTCCGCGTTTTGGGGGTGGAAGCGCTCGTTCCGAGGGTTTTTCTTCTGCCGGGTCATGTGACTGCGCTTGTCTGGTCCTATTACCAAGCCAGCAAGGACGTGGGACGGTCGCAATCATCATCGGTCATCGGCGCTCGCAAATGAAGAGCGCCTGCTGCATTTCCTTCACTAGTGCGGCTCCTTCAGCGTTTTGGTGGTGGAAGCGCTCGTTCCGAGCGTTTTTCTTCCGCCAGGTCACGAGGCTGCGCTTGTCTGGTCCTATACCAAGCTAGCAAGGGCATGGGAGGGTCGGAATCATCATCGGTCATCGCCGCTCGCGAATGTAGAGCGCCCATTGCACTTCCTGCACACGTGCGGCTCCTTCCGCCTTTTGGGGGTGGAAGCGCTCGTTCCGAGCGTTTTTCTTCCCCCGAGTCATGTGGTTGGGCTTGTCTGGTCCTATTACCAAGCCAGCAAGAGCGTCATAGGGCTGCAAGCATCATCGGTTATCGGTGCTCGCGAATGAAGACCGCCCGATGCACTTCCTGCACATGTGCGGCTCCTTCCGCGTTTCGGGGGTGGAAGCGATCGTTCCGAGCGGTTTTCTTCCGCGGGGTCACGTGGCTGCGCTTGTCTGGTCCTATTACCAAGCCAGCAAGGGCGTGGGAGGGTTGCAATCATCACCGGTCATCGGCGCTCGCGAATGAAGAGCGCCCGCTGCACTTCCTTTACATGTTCAACTCCTTCCGTGTATTGGGGGTGGAAGCGCTCGTTCCGAGCATTTTGCTTCCGGCGGGTCACGTGGCTGCGCTTCTGGTCCTATTACCAAGCCAGCAAGGGCGTGGAAGAGCTGCTAGCATCATCGGCCATCGACGCTCGCGAATGAAGAGCGCCCGCTGCACTTCATGCACAAGTGCGGCTTCTTCCGGGTTTTGGGGGTGGAAGCGCTCGTTCCGAGCGTTTTTCCTCCGCTGGGTCACGTGGCTGCACTTTGATGGTCCTATTACCAAGCCAGCAAGGGCGTGGGAGGGTTGCAAGCATCATCGGTTATCGGCGCTCGCGAATGAAGAGCGCCCGCTGCACTTCCTGCACATGTTCGACTCCTTCCGTGTTTTGGTGGTGGAAGCGCTCGTTCCGATCGTTTTTCTTCCGCCGGGTCATATGGCTGCCCTTCTAGTCCTATTACCAAGCTAGCAAGGGCGTGGAAGAGCTGCAAGCAATATCGGCCATCGGCGCTCGCAAATGAAGAGCGCCTGCTGCACTTCCTGCAGATGTTCGGCTCCTTCCACGTTTTGGGTGTGGAAGCGCTCGTTCCGAGCGTTTTTCTTGCACCGGGTCACGTGGCTGCGCTTGTCTGGTCCTATTACCAAGCCAGCAAGGGCGTGGGAGGGTTGCAAGCATCATCGGTTATCGGCGCTCGCGAATGAAGAGCGCCCGCTGTACTTCCTGCACAAGTGCGGCTCGTTCCGCGTTTTGGTGGTGGAAGCGCTCGCTCCGAGGGTTTTTGTTCCGACGGGTCACGGGGCTGCCCTGTCTGGTCCTATTACCAAGCCAGCAAGGGCGTGGGAGGGTTGTAAGCATCATCGGTGATGGGCGCTCGCGAATGAAGAGCGCTCGCTGCCCTTCCTGCACATGTTTGACTCCTTCCGTGTTTTGGGGGTGGAAGCGCTCTTCCCGAGCGTTTTTCTTCCGCCGGGTCACATGGTTGCCCTTCTAGTCCTATTACCAAGCGAGTAAGAGCATGGAAGAGCTGCAAGCATCATCGGCCATCAGCGCTCGCAAATAAAGAGCGCCTGCTGCACTTCCTGCACATGTTCGGCTCCTTCCGCGTTTTGGGGGTGGAAGCGCTCGTTCCGAGCGTTTTTCTACCGCCGGATCACGTGGCTGCGCTTGTTTGGTCCCACTACCAAGCCAGCAAGGGCGTGGGAGGGTTGCAAGCATCATCGGTTATGGGCGCTCGCGAATGAAGAGCGGCCGCCGCACTTCCTTCACTTGTTCGGCTCCTTCCGTGTTTTGGGGGTGGAAGCGCTCGTTCCGATTATTTTGCTTCCGCCGGGTCACGTGGCTACGCTTCTGGTCCTATTACCAAGGACGTGGAAGAGCTGCAAGCATTATGGGCCATCGGCGTTCGCGAATGAAGAGCGCCCGCTGCACTTCCTCCACAAGTGCGGATCGTTCCGCGTTTTGGTGGTGGAAGCGCTCGTTCCGAGGGTTTTTCTTCCGCCGGGTCACGGGGCTGCGCTTGTCTGGTCCTATTACCAAGCCAGCAAGGGCGTGGGAGGGTTGCAAGCATCATCGGTCATCGGCGCTCGCGAATGAAGAGCGCCCGCTGCACTTTCTGCACATGTTCGAGTCCTTCCGTGTTTTGGTGGTGGAAACGCTCGTTCCGAGCGTTTTTCTTCCGCCGGGTCACATGGCTGCCCTTCTGGTCCTATTATAAGGCCAGCAAGGCCGTGGAAGAGTTGCAAGCATTATCAGCCATCGGCGCTCGCGAATGAAGAGCGCCCGCTCCACTTCCTGCACAAGTGCGGCTCCTTCCGCGTTTTGGTGGTGGAAGCACTCGTTCTGAGGGTTTTTCTTCCGCCGGGTCACGGGGCTGCGCTTGTCTGGTCCTATTACCTAGCCAGAAAGGCCGTGGGAGGGTTACAAGCATCATCGGTCATCGGCGCTCGCGAATGAAGAGCGCCCGCTGCATTTCCTGCACAAGTGCGGCTCCTTCCACGTTTCGGGGGTGGAAGCGCTTGTTCCGAGCGGTTTTCTTCCGCGAGGTCACGTGGCTGCGCTTGACTGGTCCTATTACCAAGCCAGCAAGGGCATGGGAGGGTCTCAATCATCATCGGTCATCGGCGCTCGTGAATGAAGAGCGCCCGCAGCACTTTCTGCACAAGTGCGGCTCCTTCAGCGTTTTGGTGGTGTAAGCGCTCGTTCCGAGCGTTTTTCTTGCGCCTGGTCACGAGGCTGCCCTTGTCTGGTTCTATACCAAGCCAGCAAGGGCGTGGGAGGGTTGCAATCATCATCGGTCATCGCCGCTCGCGAATCTAGAGCGCCCGCTGCACTTCCTGCACACGTGCGGCTCCTTCCGCGTTTTGGGGGTGGATGCGCTCGTTCCGAGCGTTTCTTCCGCCGAGTCATGTGCTTGGGCTTGTTTGGTCCTATTACCAAGCCAGCAAGAGTGTCGTACGGCTGCAAGCATCATCGGTCATCGGCGCTCGCGAATGAAGACCGCCCGCTGCACTTCCTGCACATATGCGGCTCCTTCCGCGTTTTAAGGTGGAAGCGCTCGTTTCGAGCAGTTTTCTTCTGCTGGGTCACGTGGCTGCGCTTGTCTGGTCCTATTACCAAGCCAGCAAGGGCGTGGGAGGGTTGCAATCATCACCGGTGATCGGCGCTCGCGAATGAAGAGCGCCTGCTACACTTCCTTCACATGTTCGGCTCCTTCTGTGTTTTGGTGGTGGAAGCGCTTGTTCCGAGCGTTTTGCTTCCGCCGGGTCACGTGGCTGCGCTTTTGGTCCTATTACCAAGCCAGCAAGGGCGTGGAAGAGCTGCAAGCATCATCGGTTATTGGCACTCGCGAATGAAGAGCGCCCGCTGCACTTCCTGCACAAGTGCGGCTCCTTCCGCGTTTTGGTGGTGAAAGCGCTCGTTCCGAGGAATTTTCTTCCGCCGGGTCATGGGGGTGCGCTTGTCTAGTCCTATTACCAAGCCAGCAAGGGCGTGGGAGGGTTGCAAGCATCATCGGTCATCGACGCTCGCGAATGAAGAGCGCCCGCTGCACCTCCTGCACAAGTGCGGCCCCTTCAGCGTTTTGGTGGTGGAAGCGCTCGTTCCGAGCGTTTTTCTTGCGTGGGGTCACGGGGCTGCGCTTGTGCGGTCCTATACCAAGCCAGCAAGGGCGTGGGAGGGTTGCAATCATCATCGGTCATCGCCGCTCGTGAATGTAGAGCGCCCGCTGCACTTCCTGCACACGTGCGGCTCCTTCCGCGTTTTGGGGGTGGAAGCGCTCGTTCCGAGCGTTTTTGTTTCGCCGAGTCATGTGGTTGGGCTTATTTGGTCCTATTACATAGCCAGCAAGAGCGTTGTAGGGCTGCAAGAATCATCGGTCATCGGCGCTCGCGAATGAAGACCGCCCTCTGCACTTCTTGCACATATGCAGCTCCTTTCGCGTTTTGGGGGTGGAAGCGCTCGTTCCAAGCGTTTTTCTTCCGCCGGGTCACTTGTCTGCGCTTGTCTGGTCCTTTTACCAAGCCCAGAAGGGCGTGGGAGGGTTGCAAGCATCATCCCTCATCGCCGCTCGCGAATGAAGAGCGCTCGCGGGGTGGAAGCGCTCGTTCCGAGCGCTTTTCTTCCGCCGGGTCAGGGGGGTGCACTTGTCTGGTCCTATTACCAAGCGAGCAAAATCGTGAGAGGGTTGCATGCATCATCGGTCATCGGCGCTCGCAAATGAAGAGCGCCCGTTGCACTTCGTGCACATGTGCGGCTCCTTCCATGTTTTTGGGGGTTCAAGCGCTTGTTCCGATAGTTTTTCTTCCACCGGGTCACGTGGCTGCGCTTGTCTCATCGTGTTACCAAGCCACCAAGGTCATGGGAGGGTCGCAAACATCATGGGTCATCAGCGCTTGCGAAT